GTCATAAATATCCTCGTAAATTATCGTAAAGATCCAATATGTCATAAGATTAGATGTTATTTTCTTAGGTTCGCCGTGATCATCGTAGGCGGTGCCGAAGACGTCGTTGCTAGTTGGTAAAGGTCGAGTCTAAGTGCAGCTCCACAGTACTCATAATGGTTCCCGGCACATGCCATCGTTTGACAATCGGTATCCGGAGCAAGCGAACTGCGGCTGTCTAGCGTGTTGCCACAGTAGCACTCACGCCCATACTCAGCTCCCCAGTACGTGAAGCCAGTACAGTTCGAAGCGCACATTTCCAGTGTCATAGCATCGTCTGCATAGGCTGCTCCAGCTAGGGCTCGGCCATCTGGGATTTCAGTGTAGCAGCCAATCCTAACGTACGGCGACACAGTCGGTTTAGGAGCCAGTGTGCCGGTTGGAGTGGGCTGGCTAGCTGTTGTGCTGTACAGCTCTATCCTATTACTATCCCCACAGTATTCGGTAGAGTCTCCGCCGCAGACCATGTTGCAGTCAGTCAAGGGCGCATCTTCGCTCGTCGAGTGGAGCGAATCGCCACAGTAACCTGTATGCAATGTCAGTCATATCGCTTAGTGGATACCCCGCGAATCTTGGAAACTAACACTCTCGACCATATTCAGCTCCCCAATAGATATATCCAGTGCAATTATTCATACAGGACTCTAGAGTCATGGTATCATACGCAAATGCGGCGTCCCCCAGAGCTCGAGTTCCCGCTGCAGTTGACTCTTTCTGGCATCCTACAAGTAAGTATTCACCGAGGGTTTGTCTGTGATGTAAGGTCTCAGTTGGTGCTGCAGAAGTGCTTGTACTGCTCGCTGTGGTAGATGAAGTAACAGTCAATGAGGACGAAGAAGTCAACGTGGTACTGACCGAAATAGTTGACGATGAAGTAGTCCCCGAAGACGAGACAGTTGACGTTCCGGGAGGTGTTGAAACTTGTCCTGTGGTACACATGGACGACGGTGGGGTTTGAAAAGCCTGACATGTTGCTCCTAAGTCGCTTGCAGCGTTGAAGTCGTCCGCCAAAGCCGAAGTCCCACTTCCGCTGATGACATCGATCTTGGACGCGTACGCAAGATCGCCAAGACCAGCGTAGTCAGCTGTATAGAAGGTATACGAGCCCACACAGTCTCCTTCAGCCATGGTAGCCGTAGTGTTTTTCAAAGTTGGCACTGGAAGGTTAGGATTTCCCGTCGGTGTCTTATAAGAGATAAACATATTGACAGGGTGGGATTTTCGGTCATTGAGAACCTAAAGAAACAAGTCAGCAGCCATCCATAACCTAGAACATTAAGGATAACCCACAGCCGCAGTGACGGTGAGAGTACCGGAGAGAAGACAACTCTGAGGTTTTTGAATTAAGATGGCGTCCTGAATAAGGTATGAATTGCCATTGTTGTCGAAGCTTTGTGTCGTCCCACTAGCCATAGTAAGGGTTAAGGTATAAGATGAAATACCGGTGGAAGTTGAAATAGCAGCATCAATAGGAAACCACTAGTGTATGTTAGATATCGCCTAGGTAACATGACCGCGTACTGTTCCATAGACTTACAACGAATTGGTCATCGAAGCCCTGAGTGGCACCCAAAAGAGTTGCCGTATATTCACAACTTGTGCTACCGCAGTTGTTACCTCCGTTTCGATCTTTGTAATTGAGCGTTAGGCTAGCGACAGAGTCTTCTCCTAAATCAGTTATTCGAACGCGTATAACACCAGTCAATTGCATCGTCGATGCTCCAGAGTTAAGTGTCAATTGCATGTCAACAGGCTTGACTGAATATGGTTGGATAGGATCCGATAGAATCACGCCGTCAGGCACAGTGTCAATCAGCTTCTGAAGAACAATAGCACATATGTTATTGAAATCAGTAGCGCCCGCCATTGCCTCGATTGTCACATTCCCATCGTAGTTGAAAACCTTGAAGTCTGCATTCCTAGTCGCCTTGATCGATGGCCCAACTACCATAGGATTGGTTGTATTACCAGCAATGTATTCGGTGACCACTTTGTTGTCAAAGACTGCAACAGTCGAGTCCAAGGGGGCCTCCCCGTTTGATGTAGATCCGACTGGGACTATCTCAGGGAACTCGCCCTCGTGAACACCACCAATAGAATGACCGCAGGCAGTGACTTGTATCATTTCGGTCTTGCTGAATCCCATTCGTATGAATTGCTGCTCAAAGGTGAAAGCAGTGTTCTGCGGCAATGGAACACCTATGGGACCGGCTACAGTAGCGTCAACTCTACCACCAGAAACAGGCACCACAGGGCCGCCACAAGACCTAACAGCATAATATACACCTAGGGCGATAAGATCCGCCACGCTCGATCGGCTCGTGTAATAGTCGGCCATGAACTGGAGGGTCGTGTTGAAACCTGGGCCGAGGTTGTCTGAACTAGTCAGTTCGTATTGCAGAGAGCCATCCAACCCGCCGGCTCGTACGTCACTTAAGTCTGTAGTTGTAGCCATGTCGTGGAAAGCTGCTCGCAACCATTCAGCAGCATTTTGTCGACCAGGACCAGATGCTTCATTGGAACAAGGAATGACAGTTCCGCCGAAGTCTCTAGCCCTATAGCCCTTGACCTGATACATGATCTCCTCGATTTCGTCATTAGGAGACGGCCAGGTTGGGTCAGTTCTCGAGAGGCTACTCAAAGAAAGTATGGTACCCCACCATAAGATGCCCCAACGCATAGTGGTGGGCGATATAAATCAAATTCAAAATTAAGGAATGAATAACCAAAAATCGAACGTGTAAGCAGCCACCTTAGTCACAGAGGGTTCTTAGGACAATAGTTTCGTTGAAGAAAGAAACCATAACATCTTAGCTTAGGAAAGCCAACTAGGAAATACATAAGACTCAAGGGTCAACGTAGGTATGAACATGATAAGGGATGTATGCAAATCTGCATTTTTTTTGCTCGTTTGGTACGATATCTCACTGTCACCTTGTGCCTGGCAATCTTTCGACAATTCTCTGCGAGATAGGATAACGAGCCGCCCAGACGCGGTAGCTGCGAAGCCCCCTGCAATAATGAAATACGAGACCTCGCAGCGATGCGATGCTACCTTGAGCAACGCTTGAAAGCGGATTGGTTGATATGCAGCCTCTCGTGAGAACTTCAAGCCGCAAGTTGATTAAGACAACTCAAAGAGGTCGTTCATAAGCCAAAAGCAAAACATGCTTACCAGCTGGCTCGCCATCCGTGATGCATCGACCTCCCTAGATTTGCTTTTCTCACTGGAGCTAGAGGTTTGCAGCCAATAGTTCGATACGCACAACATGATAGAATATGTAGAAATACCAAGCGGGGATGATGGTCTCATTCTAAGTGATACAAAGAACTGTGCTCAAGAATGTCCTTCTGACTATCGGTGTAGGACTCCTATATCCATGGTGTTATGACAGGTGATCATAGTCATCAACTCGAATCTAAGTTGAACAGTCCAATCAAAAATTGGACTATCGAAAATTATCGCGATGACAGCTTTCTCCGCGAACGGCTTCCTAATGGTGGCATATGCAACAGCTTGTAAATAAACAACTGAAGAGAGAGCTGAATTAAGGGTCCATTGGTATCCAGTATTATCCAATGCCTTTCCGAGGAGACATCTTATTTTGAAGCGTCGGATCATCTCATGCCTGCCTGGATATGGCATTGAAAGTATCTGGACAAGCCGAATGTCTCCATTATACAGGCACCTACGATGGTCATGTCCAGACTGTCGGGCCCAAGATTCAAAGAATTGGAACTCGGACCGGAGCTTAAGTTCGATTCATTGCGGTGCTCGATGGGAAGGTATCGCTTCCGAGTTGAGATAGTGCAGAGTAGAAAGCGCAAATCATGCAGGTCTTCGAGATAGGAGGGTTGAGAGAAGTTAGACCCTGGTCGATTGTACAAATCCAGTCTGTACTAATTAGGTAATAGCTAATAACGGGATCTAAAATCTCACGAAATTAGCGCCCGTGACCGGGGTCAGAGCTAATGGATGCTCAGGTATATGTATGGCGTGAAATATTATTTGAATATTACATGCATGTATCATAGAGGAACACGGGAAGATTTTCTTCCTCTCACGTTCAGCATCTAAAATACCTACATACCAGCTGGGCATGTCCCACCGACACGTGCGTTAAGTGGACCAATAGGTACAGGGACTGGTGATTCGCGACGAGGATCAGGGATAACTCGGAAAGTCAAGCTTTCAAATCTTGGGAAGTTGGGAACTCCTATCTGCCATGTACGTACATAGATACGTACCCATAAAGATCTAGAATCTCGGTGCAGCAAGAGCTTTCAACAATTCGGTGCGATTCGAAGTTACAGCTTCCTCTCCCGTCCTAGTGCCTGTCATCCCAACTTTACAGGCAATGTTAACAAACAAATGCCATCTTGACGGGCCTTTTTATAGAAGCTTAGATACTACCACAAGACCTTATAATGAACGATAAGTAAAGAAATAAGTAGGTTACCTAGGTATACATATAAATAGCCAAGTTGAATATGGCCTTCATTTTTACGTAGGCTTAATATAACTGTACAAAGTAACAAATAATCAATAGTACCGCCTTGAAGGGAGTTTCTCTTCATGTTCATCATTAAACATACCAGCAAGGTAAATGGATATATTGGTCACATTCAATCCGCGGTAACCCTTTATGCCACAAACGTAGAATTCTTATGACATAGGTATATCTTAGGAAGGGCAAAAAGAACGCCAAGCTTTTAATCATAAGGCGAGGAATTCACATAATTTTCATGGTTGAGCTATTCATCAGTTATTGTGTCCTACGAAGCCCAATCAAACGGTTTACTTTCTCTAAGGGGTGTAGTAATATGTGATCATGGCCCGAATATAATCCGTGATTTTACCGATGGATCCAATAAAATTGGCCAGAAATCGCTAGTCAAGAGGAATCTTTATATATACATACGACCGTGAAAATTGTCATCACTTGTCCACTTAGGCTGTATCCGAATTGGTGTAGTGGCTAACATTTGACGCTCTCAAGGTTGGAATATTACCGTTGACCCGTCAAGCCCGGGGTTCGATTCCCCGATTCGGAGGATTCTTTTTGGTTTTGTTTGCTTCCTTTTTCAATGGTCCCTCCCCCATGTTATTGTTGCTTTGAAGTTCAAAATATTGAAGATAATTTTACATACTTATCTCAGCTAGCTCAGACCACAATCGGTTTTTCTATGTATCTTTCTAGCCACGGCACCTTTTGACCAATCAGACCCCTGACTTATCCCTCCC